CTTAATGGCCAGTTAGATTTGAAAACAAAGAAGATTTATAACAGAAGAATTTTCACCTTTAATTTACGGAGGGTAGTTTAGTGCAGATGCATGATCGATGACATAGATACAAACTCATATTCTGCAAAAAATCAGCAACATTTTCTCCATAATCTAAAGAATATTACAGATATTTACTCATTTATGTCACTATTCATAATATACCATTTATTTGAATGGTTTAGTCTATACTAAAAGTAGAGAATATAAAAATCTCCACCCTAAAAGGATTCAAAAAGTACTAGAAGAAATACTGTTATTATAGCAGTTGTAACAAAAAATGGACAAAAGCAAATTGTTTCTAAAATAAAGGGTCATCTTGTTGGAAGTTCTGCCCTCTGCAGTAAAAATAAGACCCAATAATTTAGGATGTTTTCTTATCTTACTGAAGAAAGAGAGAAAACATGACTTCTTGTAGGGCATTCCCAACACTAGTCTTTATGATATCAAACTTTCAATTTTCTTGAAAACATAACCATTCCTATATACCTTATTTCTCATTATCTAACAACAATTCAAATGATTCCTATTCTTAGGTATGATGCATGAACATTTAAGCTATTCTTAAGCATCAGAAAAAAAATGGCTAAGATAAAATTTACCTTAACCTAATGAAAATATACTTTAGCTATCATTGAGATTTTATAAACCAATAAAAATATTTAAAGCACATGGAAGAAATATCAATTATATTTGTAAGGATTTAAAAATTACTTGTGGGGATAGGAGTGTAACTTGATGGCATAGTACATGGATTCAATCCTAATAGCCCTCCCCCAAATAAAATAAAATTTTAATTAAAAGTGTTATTTTCCATTAATCCTAACATAATCTTAATAAACACACATATAAACAAACATCATATTCTCTTGCTTTAACACACTAAAGATGAATATAAGAATGACATTCATTTCCAGGCATACTATTTAATTGTCTTTCATTTTTTAAGGTATACAATTCTACTTCCACTATCTACCCTCAAAACAATCTTAGCTAGTATGTCAAGGTTTAGAGGTTGTGTTTTCAGCAATGGCCCAAATGCAGAATCTTCCCTTTGCTCTGAAATATATGTCTTTTTGGTGGGGTTATTGGGGATCGAACTTGGGTCCTTGTGCTTACAAGGCAGGTGGCAGAACCACGATCTAAATCCCTGGCCCTCTGCAATATATGTCTTGAAAGAGCTTGAAAAAGCTTTTTATTCATTGCTGAGATCCTTCTAGGCTCTTTCTAAACAACTCATTCACTATCGCTTTCTTAAGAAAAGTATTTTACCAGGCTTTGGAGGAGGGCAAAAAATATATCCATGATATCATATTATCAATATGTCTGTAATTTATAGTTCACATTCATTATTTTCATTGTTTTACTGCAGAAAACAAATATTTTTCTGTGTGTAATGAGAAAAGAACTGCCCTTGTGGAGGTAACTTTCTAGTTGGAGAATAGAGATAACACAGGTAAAATTAGTAAAGTTTACAGTATGCTTCTAAGTACCAGATGCTGCAGAGAACATAGCAGGGAATGCAAACAGAGGAGAGTGCTGGCTGGGGTCAGGGAAGGTCTCACAGATAAAGCAATACCTGAAGGAGGGGAGGGTATAAACCAACAGGGAATCTGTAGGAAAGGCACTAATGAGGGCCTGGCAATATGCCCAGGGTGTCAGGCAAGATGCAAACCAGAGGAGCTCAGAGATTACTGTGACTGGAATAAGACAGCAGAGCAGAGGGCAGGTGAAGATGAAGTTTGAGAGGTGGCGTCCAGGTCACACCCCATTTGCAGTCCACAGGAAGGACTTTGCTTTACTGAATGAGGGAGGAAGTCACCTGAGGATTCCGAACAGACAGAAACATGATTTGACTTGGACTGCAACAGGATCATGTTGGCTGCTCTTTTAAGAAAAACTTTAAAGGGGCTGGGATTTAGCTCAGTGGCACCGTGCCTGCCTCACAACAGCAAGATCCTGAGTTGATCCCTAATACTAAAAAACAAACAAACAAACAAAAAACCCCAAACACAAAATTTAAGGGGATAAACATAGAAGTAGGATACTATGCTACTGTAATAACATATTTGACATATGATATTGCTTGGGTTGTAACTGTGAAAACTTTCAAAATTTATTTTGAAAGTAGAGTCCACTGTTGAGTTTGAATGTTGCAATATTCAGTGCTGGCAATTAGATAAAGAGAATAATCAAGGATGAAATGATTCCAAGATTTTGGCCTGAACTGCAAGAAGGTCAGAGTCATTAGTGGTGGTGGGAAGGCTGCTGAAGGAGCCAGGCTGGGACGGAAATTCAGGAGCTCCAGTTATGGATATTCTAAATTTAAGATGATTTTCAGATGTTTCTAAATGGAGGGAAGAAGACAGCTGAAAATATGACCACAGAATTCAGCAAAGAGGTCTAGGTGGAGATATAAATTAACAGGGGCTCTTTAAGAAACTAGGGAATGAGAACGAATATTTATGGTGCCTGAGAAGGGAGTGGCCTGTAAGTTGTGAAGAAAAAAAATAGCAAAACTTCTTACAAACCAACTAAAGAAAGCCCTTCAAAGACAGAATGGGCAAGTCTATTAAAAGCTGCTTATAAATGAAGTGAGGACCAAACAGTTTAGCCAAATGGAGATTACTATTGATCCACAGAGAGTAATTTCAGTGGAATGGAAAGTAGCAAGATCCAAATAATACAGTATGGGATTGAGAGTGTTTAAATGGAGGGGAAGCAGAGACAGTGCATATAGATGTTTCTTTTGACGAATTTTTGCATGAAAGAGAAAAAGCAGTAAGATGAACAGTATAGTAAAATAATTTATTTGGCTGTTTTTTTTAAAGAGGTGAGAAATAACATATTGGTATGCTAACAAAAAGGATCCAGAGAGAAGGAAAACAGATGATCTGGAAAGATGGTAGAAGCTTGTGGAGTATAATTTTTAAGGTGCATAATTCAGCCTCCAAAGATATATTCATTAAATATAAATGAAGAGGATTGAGGTTTTTACTAATATTGAGGTCAAACAAAATGGAATTAAAAAGGAAGTTTCCAAATTGACCCAATTCTATATAAGAAGTTAACTGAAATCTTTTCTTTTTTTATTTATTTTTTGGTACTAGGGATCGAACTCGGGCCCTTGCACTTGCAAGGTAGGCGCTGGAACCACTGAGCTAAATCCCCAGCCCTTATATAAGAAGTTAATACAATATTTAGCAAATACGTGAATTAATTTTATACTTAGAAGTGATCAAGAAATTAATAAGGTGCCAGCATGGTTGTGCACACCTATAATCCCAGTTTGGGGAGGCTGAAGAAGGTGGATCGCACTGAGTTTGAGGCCAACATGGCTGGCTCTGAACTACAAAGTGAGACTCTGTCTCAAAAAAAGAAAAGTAAAACATGAACTGTTATTAAAACTATAAACTATACAATCAAAAATAAAATATCTAAAAAGTGAAATTAGAAAGATGAACTCAAATAAAAGGTTTATTCACTATGCAAGTAGATCAGACAAAAAAATTATCAATTAAGCAAGATATAAGTGAGCAAGAACATACAGATATAATTAATAAGTAAATATTATGACAGAAATTCAATCTTGCTAATAAGAAGGTGCAAAAGAAAAAAATGAGATGTTGTTAGGAAAATACTGTAGTTATGTTGTGATAAAGTTTTCATACATTGCTAGTGGCAATTTTTGACAATGAAATCCTTTTGGAAAACAACTTGGCAATTCATACCAAAAGTCATGAAAATATTTGTAGTTTTGAACTCAGAAATATTTTGTCCATTTATCCTATGGAAATACAAAGAAGTATATTCAAATTATGTACTTCGGAACATTATAATTTCATTGTAGCATTACTTATAATAATTAAATATTAGAAATAATTAAATGCAAAAATCATATTGGCTAGGAAAATTATGAATATGGGCTGATCAAATTAAAGATGGTAGAAAAGATTTCACCACAACATTCCAGCACTCTGGAGGCTGGGGCAAGAGAATCACTGCAAGTTCAAGGCCAGCTTGAACTACATAGTGAAACCAGGTCTCCCCTGGCGAAAAAAAAAAAAAAAAAAAAAAAAAGAGAGAGAGATTTCACAGCAACAAATATGCTTATAATGTATGAATAGTATAAAACTTTTACTATAACTCTGTCCCTAAACAGAGATTCAAAGGAAAAAATAAACAGTGAAAACAATATAAACATGCAACATATTGAGATTTTATTTTATTTTATTTTTGGTACTGGGGATTGAACTCAGGCCCTTGCACTTGCGAGAGAGGCAGCAGCACCACTGAGCTAAATCCTGAGCCCTATATTGGGACTTTACAGAAGCATAACAAGTAGCACCTATTAGATACTTAAGCCTGGGGGCCGGGGATTTAGCTCAGTGGTTCTGCCACCTGCCTCGCACGCACAAGAACCCAAGTTCGATCCCTGGTACCAAAATAAATAGATAAATACATAAAATAAATACTTAAGTCTGTGCCAAATGCTGGACTATGTACTTTATGTGAAAGAATGCATTTAATATTATGTGGATGGTCATGGTAAACAAATGGCAGAGGTGATATGTGAATTCAGGTAAAGTCTTTAGTCCTGATTTAATTACAATGCTCTATCATATGAATAATGAAAAATGAGGGGGAAAAATAGGACTTCTCTCAATTTGTGAGTCATGTTTCAAAAAGGGAGTTATGGGCATTGTATATGAATATGTCATTACATAATTTCAGAGTAGCAGCCATTAAAAATTGCTAACATGTCAATCTTGTCTATGAAATTAAAGCAAGCTGATTTTATTGTAATCATTTTAAGATGAGGCAATGGAAGCCTAGATAGATTCAGTAAGTTGTCCAAGACTACACAGCTGTTAACTGACATCTGAGTCTGATTCCAAAGGCAGTGCTCATGCTCCCAGTGGTTGTGCTCCAAAATCTGGACAAAACGCGCTCACACTTACCAGGAGCTCTGGTTATGGAGGTTCCTTGTGTCTCCCTCTTGCCAGCAGAAGTTCATGTTGACAGAACTGTCTGATCTTGCTCAGGGCAAGCTGCATGTTTCTCAGTGGGTTAAAATGCATGTAAGTAGATTTTATTTCCTGGTGTCTAGTGTCTGTATAGATCTTAGGCTTGCTTTTCATGGTCAGAGATGGAGCAACCAATGAGCAAAGGGGTTATGGATGCTCATGTTCCCCAACAAGTGTGCTCTCTAATGCGCTAACGATTCAAGGCCTCCTCAAATACATTCCTGATACTTGATGGACACATTTTTCCATGATCTGTTTTTTTCTTGCTTACATTTTTGCTCCCTTTTCTTTCAGACCTTAAATGCTGTAGGCTCTATCTACCCCTGTAGGTCTCTTCAGTTAGGACGCCTCCTAAGCGGTCTGTTTACAGTCTCTCCATTGCCAACTATTTTACATAACAGCTGATTACTTCCAAAGCAAAACTGTTGCTGCCTTCATCTATCCTTCCTTCCTTGAAATCTATCCCCAGCCTTCCTTTCCAGCTGTCTCTCCCTAGGTCCTTGTGTCCACTGTAACTAACATGAGATCTCCCTCCTCTGGGATACGGTTCATCGTGATCCTTTTATCAGAAGAAATCCTCCCCCTTTTCCTCTTTGGCTGTCTACATTACCTTCATTCTTTAAGGCTTCCTTCAAATGTAATCTCTCCTGCCTTCTTTGATGATTCTCCAACCAGATATAATCCCTTCCTTGTCTAACACTGGTTATTACACTGGGTGTTACTCCTAGGAGACTTGACATTCTGACCTGTAGGGCAGGCCTGAACTGTCAATTCCATTAAGATCAACCACGTTATTGATCTTTGTAGAATAGGCAGCACTAAAGAAGACATTCATATTCCTAGATCAAAAACAAAAACCTGCTTTGAGCAATGCAAACAAAGTCAAAGTGCTCAACAATTTTTTATTAGCAAAAGCAATCTAGATTTAAAAAAAGGTACAGCTTCATAATGGGGCACTTAATATTTTAGGCGCAGACACAAGAGTTGATAGATCTCCTAAATCAAGGAAGATATCTCAAGATGATCTACATGGAACAGTTAATGATGGACCCAGGAAAAAACTCAAACTATTTGAAGGCATCTGTCAGCATAATTTTATTTCTTGATTTTTTGGGGAGTTGTTCAGATAAACAAAGGAAGGCTTTAAAACTAATAATGTTTGCTTAAATGACAACTTTTGAATGAACCAATGCAACTCAAACTAAACAGGGCAACTAAGCAAAAAATCCATTTCCATACAAGAACAAAACTCATAAAGTTTAGTTCTTGTCTCTTGTGAAAAACACAAAATTTTAAAAATCCGGTCATGTTGTTCCTCCCCAAATTGTAAAGCTAGTTAGAGAAGGCTGCCATCTCACACAAACATTTCATAAAGGTACTGAGATAACATTACTCCTATAGAAATCACGATTAACGAATCCACTGGGCACTGGCTATAACGACGTCATTGTTGTTTACTTGCTGATCTTTTCGTTTTTCAGGGGAGACGCGAGTAAGATGGAGAGGACGAAGAAAATGAATTCAAACTGCATTTTAAATATACCGAATAGAGCAAACACCACGACTCAACTTATTTTTTTCTTATAGACCTGTCGTTCTTGTTAAGAGTGCAGTAAAATGAACCGATACTTAAGAAAAACAACAACAAAGCAACAGGCACCTGCAGCCTCTCAATCACTGAACAAATATTTCCGCCAAGTCGGGGCCAAATTCGGGGACTTGAGCGAGCAGGGGGGTGTCACCTTTCAATAAGACTCTTTCCTCGGAAAGCCGTAAATCTTGGGACAACTGGGACCCTTCCCAGGGATCCTGCGCTGGGAGCGGTCTCCGGTTTTAGCCTAATCTCTCCTCCTACCACAGGTGACCGAACGGCACAGCCGCCGACGGAGCCACCGCAACCTCGCAGCCGCGGGATACAAAGGCTCGGCGTCGCCGCCGCCGCCGCGCACCCCTTAGGAC